CTTGGATGGAGAATATTGGATGTTCTATACAAGCCTTGCATATTATTTGCATCCACTGCCTTGCAAGTGCTCGATTAATCAATTCATTATTGAAGTTTTGATTGAATTTATTGAATAATTTAAGGGAAAATGAAGGAAATACCTTTGGATATTATGCAATTCCCCCCTTGATTTGAAGTACGAGTATGCGTACTGTATTGTTGGATAGACTGCTAGAAATGCTACAGTTACAATACAATACAGTACTGTACAATGGCGATTTTTACAAGAATAACGGTACACCATAAATCGTGAAAAAACGAATTGAAATCATTTATTTCACAAAAATAAATTATACAGGCATGTTTATGAGAGCTTCTTCTTTCCACACATAACAATTTTGATGAATTTCGTTCACAAAATGTCGCAAAACATTAGCGTTGATTTATCTAAAACGAAAAGGATCACGCTCAGTATATCAGGGATGGATTCCATTCTCTAGATCAGTAGTGTAGCGCTTCTGGGAAGTTGTCTGTCCGTTACACGCATCTAGGAAGAAAAGCAGAAAGGTTGCGCTGGCATATCCATCTTTCTTTCTTTCTTTTCGTCCCTGACCACCATACTGTACAATATGTACGGTACAGTACCGATATTTTATTTCAGTTCATGACTCTATTTTTGTCTTCTGACTAGAATCAATCCTTTCACAGACTATCCCTCCAACTTTATAGTCTTCAGACTAGAGCACCCTTGAGGTACAGTATGAAGAAAAACGTGTGTATACAGTACAGTACAGTAGAGTTCAAGTAACGCGCGCTGGACTAATCGACGCTAGGAACTAGGCAACTTTCCCTCCTTCGTCGCCGTCCCTCTTTTTACCCGAAATCTCGCCATTTCTATACTGTTGCTAGTCTGGACAAGGCGGAATTTCGGGTAAAAAGCGACGGAAGGATACACGATATCCAGTGAGTTGAAGACCCCATTTCTTTCTTTGACGACTAGGGCTGCCAAATAATTTGTCACCCCTTGTTTGTCTAACGAGTTGTTGTAAGATGACATTAATTTTGCACTCGACTTGTTCATCCCTAATTGGCGTCCTCCAACAAAAGTGCTTCCGTCATCATTTTTAAGATGTATTATAATAAATAGCCATG